TCCTAATGCTGTGTTCGCGGTTTTATTCGAAAGATACGCCATTTTAAAATAACAACTACGAAATCCAAATGATTCCTTTTTTATTTCGCATCGTTCATTAAAAAATTCAATTTTTTTTTTTTTTTTTTTTAATATAATTCTCGAATATATACTTTTTAATTCGTAAGAATTTGGAAAATATTTAAATATAATTTTAATAAATCCGATTAACTTCTGTCATTTTTATTTTTGAAAATAACTTTATTAATTTGAACATTTAAATTATAAATATTTTCAAGTATGTTAAAAAAGTAATTTATAAAAATATGAATAGAAAGTACTAAAATTAATGAGATTATTTTTAAATAAACTATCACTAAACAAGGAAGCTAAGAATTTACTATTAAAAACAAATAGGACGTGTATGATCACAAGTATATATATATATATGTATATGTTATACACACACGCACATACACACACATAAGAGCGTATAAAGAGACGTAAAAAATCAATAATTCCAAGGGGAGTGCCCGCGTGCTATCGTCCGATGATCAAATGATAGAAAATTCCTTCCGTATGGAAAACACCATAAGTATTATGTATACCTATATATATATAATACATAGCGCTGGAAAGATAGAAGATAAAAAAAATAGCGACGTATACTTTTCTTTGATTGGTCAAAAGAATCTTTCATGGTATATACGTATAGATTAAGGTATTCCGATTTAAATGACTCACCCTATACACGTTATATATATGTATATAAAACTGGCAATGTTGTGTGTACAATAAAAGAAAGAAAAAAAAAAAAAGAAACAAACGAATAAGAAGATACCCGTGATGTCGTTTCCTTGAGTGAACGGCTTCTATCTAACGAGTGCATTGCAAACAACGTGAAGGAACGAAGAAAAATAAGATTGACGAGAGAGTTTGAATAAACTCGACAATATGCTTTTGCTACATGTTAAAATGTTCACGGTATCTTTCAACAGTGATTTTTCTAATAAACAACATCTATTATTATTATTATTTTTTTTTTTGTTATATATTACTTTACATACTTATATTCGTTCTTCAATCATTAATCGTATTTAATACGTAAGTCATAACAACGATAAAATAATACATTCTTTTTTTTCAACGTTTCCTATTCGTCAGCGAATCAGAATCAGGTATTTATGAACGATGATCACATAACTCGTATATTCGTTTCATTTAGCTCGATATTTAAAAAAAAAAAAAAAGAAAAAAAAATAAATAGTAAGTTAGCTTATCTTTCTTGAATTTCGTCTTTATTGTTAATTCGAGTAATATACTTATATTGAGATTGTGTTTCCAAGAAAAATCATTTCGATAGATAAGATCCAATTTCAAGTTATTTATATAATTAGGATCCAATCTTTTTTTATTATTTTTTTTTTTTTTTGATTATAATCTTTTTGATCGCACTGTTTGAATTTTCGCGCACTTTTTTTTAATTACAGATTTGAAATTGTATATGTTACTACTTTCGTTCGAATAAAACTAAATCAAGGATAGATTTTTTGACTGTGATAATCATACTCATTCTAACGAATAAAACACATAACACACACACACACACACACACACATACACTTTATACATATATATAAACTTCGTTTAAGCATATCGCGGTAATGTATAATACACATTTCGCGTGTGTGTTTTCTATATGTATAATAATATATGTACATATATATAAAGATAAAACGACGACTAGTTTCGCAGGAAGTCACAGTCTATTTATTAGTTTACATGCAAGCTTGTGTCGAGTCTCTATATTCTGTTGAAGACACGAAGATTAAAATATTAATAAGCGTACCTGTGTTGAATTTAAACGACGTGCGAAGAGATGTCATCATCGACATCGAACGGTTAAGCAGACAAAAGCTGATCAGTGCCAACCAATAATAACATGACTTTACGTATTAAACCAATCAGATACGTTTTGTAATTAACCAATAGGATTTTATACAAAAATTAAATCAATTATTACTTTTCGACAAGAAAAATAAAAAAGAAGATTCACAAAGAAAAGAATAATAAATACATTATTTGCAATAATTAGAAATAAATCGAAAATATTACAATAGATACACAGAATGAGAATTAGAAATCGATCAGTGTCAATACAAACAATAAGACATTTTAAATATCTAACCAATCAAAGAGAAGTTTGCAATTAGCCAATAAGATTATTCGAAAGTAAAACATCATTAATAATCGAAAATACAAAAATAAAACATTTTCTACAAACCGTTAGAAAAATTATATTCTAAAAAATATATACTAAATGCGTCTAAAAATTTAGCCAGAATATTTGAAGAGAAATAGCATATTTAAAAAGAAGAATAAAACAAAAAAGAAAAGAAAAGTAGGTAAATAAAAAAGATTTCCCGGAAAACACGTATTTCGTAGTCCCTTGTATGTGATAAAGAGGACGACGACACATATACATATGCACATATATATATATATATATATATATATATATATATATATATATATATAGTNATATATATATATATATATATATATATATATATATATATATATATATATAGTGAAAGAGTAATGCTGGTTGGGAGGCGTGCAAGGATGGCGGCGGCGCGCAAGGATACGAGTATGACCTCGACGAGAGCCGAATCCGAACGTGGAGACGACCGAATAGTTCCGAAAGGTGGCTGCTGCATCTTCCGTGTGCATCTGCGAAACGCCCACGCGTTACGAGCACGCATGCGGCTACGCCAATCACCTTCCTCCTCTCTATTTCCTTTCTTTCTCACTTGCACTAAACACCAACCAACGTCGCTCCATTCGAAGGAGAATAAAGAAGGAATATAGGCGGCAAAGTCGATAGGAAGAGAGAGAGAGAATATATACAAAGAGAAAGAGAGAGAAAGAGAGAGCAAATGTTGTCATAAAAAAGGATGAAAGAACGAATGAGTGAGTGAGAGGGAGACAGATAAATATATACAATGAAAGTTTCCGAGAGATTTAAATCCCAGCAGATGAGTTTTTATCGAATTCTCTTTAAAAAGAAAGAAAGAGAGAGAGAGAGAGAGAAAGAGAGAGAGATTGAGCTTTACCGATATTGTTTTTTTTTCTTTCTCTCTTCCTTTCTTTTCATATTCATAATCCACATGATAAAAAAGAAAACCTATATATTTCTTGAAGAAACAAAACAGGATTGATCTTCCTCTGTTTTTCTTTTTATTTCCTCCTACGGATATCATGTTTCATATATTTCTTTCATATTTTTTTCTGTTTAACGAAATACCAACCTGATTTCGATTTAATATTCCGATTAATTTCACGCGTATCCCCCATGAATTAATTATCTCCAACTGCGTTCGTATAATTGGATTGTATGGGGAAGGGAGGATTGGATTGAATTTGTGACGATTTGAATTGAAAATGAAAACACTACGTTAATCATATTTTGATTGAAAAAGAAAACATTACTATTATTATTATTCGATTTTAATCTATAACATTAATAGTAAATCTTTCATATTCTTTTCTAGGATATGATTAAACAAATAGTTTTTTTTATATTATCAACGTAAAAAAAAAAAAATAAATTGAAATGCGCATATGCAAATTAAGTTACATGCCGTAAACAAATGATGCAAGTGACGTGGGTGGATTAAAAAGTATCGAGTTTCAATGAGAATAACAAAAATAAAATCAGAACTTTTTGTATTTTATTTCAAGAAAAATGAGTTTGATAGAAAAAAAAAAACAAATATTTTGTATGACACACAAGGCTCGAGACTTTTCAAATCCCATCACCGATGTATGCTGAGAAAGGAAAGGTCGAAAGGATTTGAGAAAGAAAGAGAGAGAGAGAGAGAGAAAGGTGTGCAGGTGTAGAACGAAAATAAAAATAAAAATAAAAATAAAAATAAAAATAAAATAAAACAAAACAAAAAAAAAAACACACACACACACAAGAGTTTTAAAAGAGAAAAGAAATAAAGAAAGTAAAAAAAAAGTTGTCCTTACTTCTTCGAGGGATGTGATGGTCTGCCTGCATTGTGGCATTCGTGAAACGAAGGTCGACGTAGTGGGCGAGTTATAGTCCTCCCTCGTTTCCTCGACGAACTCGCTCACCGCGATTAGGCCCGGCATTTTTCTTTCTTCTGTTTTGTTTTGTTTTATTTTAACTTTTATCTTTTCCCGTTATTATTCTCTTAATATTTTAGATGATGCACAAGAAACTATAAGCTAAACGACGAACTGTCAACCACCATCGATGACGATGACGACGACAACACGACGATGACAGTAATGGTAATAATAATAATAATCAAGAAATAGTTTAGTAAAATCGATAGATCAATATATCGAAAGATTTCTTTTTCGTGCCTTTTCTAGCACCGTATGTCTCTCGTTTTCTCTCGCGCGCACACACACACTCGTTACTGATATATGTATATATATATATATATCTTTCTTTTTCTATCTCCGATAATCTCTCGTATCTACCTTTCTCTCTCTCTCTCTCTCTTCCTATCTTTCTTTCACTTCACAGTTTCTCGCAAGCGCACCATAAATTCCAACGACGAGTTGCCCACTGTCACCTTTTCCTTTTCCTCTATTTTCTCTCTCTCTCTCTCTCTCTCTCTTTAATATTTTTATTTATTCTTTTTTTTTGTATACACGTAACACAACATAACAACAACTAATACTACTACTACTACTAGTACTTATTACCGTTTCCGTGATTACGGTTTAAGACATTGACGATTGCAACAATCGTCAAACTATGATAAACGTCCCCGGTGTTAGTGGTTGTGGTGGTGGTGTGTCGACGTTGACTTTAAGTAGACGGACAAATCCCGCAAGAGAGAGAGAAAGACAAGGATGCTAAATACGATATAATATGTGTCCTCATGTATACACACCACTATACCACTCTTTCTCTCTCACCATCCATGCATATGCATATATA